GGTTTCTCCTCTCCCTTAATTAACATTGTGCCCCGCGCCCACCGCTTCCCCCTCTTTACGTTACGTGTGCTGTCATTGCCTATTATTTATGCTGCCACAGAATAGTGATGAAATAAAATGTTTTCAAGATACCAAACCCTTGCCCACTCCTGCCTTTCTTTGCCGAGGGGCCGTGCACAGGGGTGGTGGGAGCTGGAGGGGCATTTTTGGGTGTAAGGAAAAGCGTCCTCTGCTTGTGCTGCTGCTCTTCCCTGGGCTGCAAGGTCCCTGTGGGGCCGAGCGATGGCTGGAGGCTCCGCTCCATGCTGTGGGATGGATGTGAGGGGCTCAGGTGTGGGACCTGAGGAGCAGGAGCCCTGGTTGTGCTGGGACTGTGCCAGGTTGGGTTCCCCTGCAATGGGCACCCGGCTGGGATGAACAGCCAAAGATGGATCATGGAATGGATTGGGTGGGAAGGGACGTTAAAACACACCCAGCCCCACCCCAGGCGCCATGGGCAGGGACACCTTCCATAGCCCAGGTTGCTCCAAGCTTCATCCAGCCTGGCCTTGGACACTCCCAGGGATGGGGCATCCACAGCTTCTCTGGGAACCTGTCCCAGTGCTCCCACCCTCTGCGGGAAGAATTCCTTCCTGATGTCCCATCTCTCTCTTTCTGTTTAAACCCGTTACCCCTTGTCCTGCCACCCCATGACCTTGGGAAAATTCCCCCCAGCTTTCTTGTAGCCCCCCCAGGCACTGGAAGGGGGTCTGAAGTCTCCTCGGAGCTTCCCTTCTCCAGGCTGAACCCCCCAACTCTCCCAGCCTGTCCCCATGGCAGAGGGGCGCCAGCCCTCGGACATCCCATCGCTACAGGCCCTTCTACGAGGTCTGTCCCCATCCCTCTCAAAAACGCCCTACACCGTCTCTGGCCCCAGACTTGCAGGTAAAACACGCCGGGTCTGCATCTACCCCCAGCTCCCCCCTTGGCCACAGCCCGGCGTGCACAAGCTCAGGGACAGCGCAAGGGATGCTGAGCTGGAAACGGAGCTTTACGCTGTATTTCCTTCATTTTTTTGGTGTTAAGGAATGTGTTATCCTTTGGTGTCAGGGCTGGGGTTTCCTGGGTTTCCTGTGGCTCATAATTGGGAGGAGAAATGGCTTTTCAAGCCCACCTGGGCTGCTCCACGCAGCGCAGCGACGGCTTGGTCCTGCTGGAGGTTCTTTATGTCTTACGGCCGCGTTCGAAGGGGGTTGTTGGGACTGAGCGTGCTGAATTACCTCTTGCAAGAGAAGAGCTGCCGCCTCTCCGAAGCTCCCTGAATCGATGCGAAATGAGCCCAATTACAGCCGCGGGTGGCGATGATTAATGAGCCAATTAGCATATCCGCCAACGTCAGCACGATTCCAGCGGCGGCTGCAGGTGAGGGGGATGTCTCGGGGTGCACGGGCGACTGACGCAGGGTGCAGCCCTGCGGGGTGGCTCTGGCACGCAGCGTCCATTCCCAAAGCATGCTCACGGCACTCCCAGAATGTTTGGGATTTGCCAAACGTCTCCATCCTGAGCCGCGGTTTCCAGGGTAAACCCTTCCCAAGGATCTCGCCACTCCTCTTCTTGCTCCTTTCCTCCCAAACTCCGCTCTCTCAGCTCGAGCTTTTCCCCACGTCGTCTTCCTGCGCCATCTGGGAGCTATTTAAAGCAGAAAGGCCCATTTTTGGGACAGTCGCTACATCCCATTTTAGCACTGAATTCCCTGCGCTGCCGCAACCTCACGACTCGACCCCGGAGCAGCCGGGTGCCATCCTGCATCGCAGCGAGGATCTGCAGCATCACCCCTTGCCTCGAGGGCTTCGGGACCCTCGGGATGTGCTGGAGAACCAGGAGACCCGCTCCCACACTGACCCGCATCCCTGCCCTCCCTCTTGGGGATTCTGCCATGTTTCTGGGTAGTTTGCAGGATTTTCCAGGCTCTAAATGGGACCAACTGTAACCTCCCAGCCTTTTTTCCTCCCATCCTTCCTGCAGACAGCATTACACATTCTTTAAATCCTCCCACCCGCTCCTTGCTCCCGCAGCACCCATCTCTCATTTTCTGGGACCTCCAGGAACTTTATCCAACCTCAGTAATTCCCAAAACATCTCATTTACCTGCAGCATTTCCCAAGCTGTCCCCATCCAAACCCAGGCTGAGCTCTCACCCTTCCTGTGCCTCTGCTCCTGGCAATTACCGCTCCATCGGAGCCGGCATCTTCGGGAGTAACTGGCTGTAAGGAAAAGGGCTGAAAGATCCCAGCAGCCAGCCCCTTGCTGCTGCCAACGGGGCCACGGGGTGACTGCTTCCCTACTTTGTTTTTCCCCTCCATATTAGCGCTGTCCCTCTGTGCTCATCCTTATCAACCTGACCTACTTTCTGCTTCCCGGAGGTTCGGCTTTGTTTGAGGCTTGGCCTCCTCGTGCGCTTCCTAGCTGCAGGATTATTGTTAATTCTCTGTTCTCCCACATTTTGCGAGTGCCTACTCGAAAAGGTTTCTGGCGATTAAGCCACCCCTGAATTTACAGGTGGAGATGTTAAGAGCTGGGGTTTGAAATCTAAAATTAAGCAAATGCAGGAGAAGCCACTGTGGGGTTTTTTTTATTTAAATGGGAGTTTCCCCACCAATTTGCCAAGGATGACGCCAGTCCTTCCTTTTTCCAACATCCTTAAAATCGAGGGGTGCTTTGCACCCACAAGACCTGGCCCTGCGCGGTT